AACACTTCTCAGTAAATTTAACAAGACTGAAATCATATCAAGCATCTTCTTTGATTATAATGATATGAAACTAGAAATCAATTATAAGAAGAAAACTGGAAAAAAAAAAAAAAGACACCAAAAACCTATAATAGATACAATAGAAGCTAACCAACATGCTACTAAAGATTCAGTGGATTAATGAACAAATCAAGGAGGAAATAAAAAAATATCTTGAGACAAATGAAAATGGAAACACAACAATCCAAAATCTCTGCGACATAGCAAAAGCACTCCCAAAAGAAAAAGTCATAGTGACACAGGCCTACCTCAAGAAATCAGTAAAATCTAAAATAAACAATCTAACCATATACCCCAAAAAACTAGAAAAAAAAAACCAAACTAAGCCTAAAGTGAGTAGAAGGCAGGCATTAATAAAGATCAGAGCAGAAATAAATAAAAAAGACTTAAAAAAAAAAAAAACTATAGAAACTAAGAACTGGTTCTTTGAAAAGATAAACAAAAGATAAACCTTTAGCTAGACTTATCAAGAAAGAGAAGGCCCAAATAAATAAAATCAGAAATGAAAGTGAAGTGACAACCAATACCGCAGGAATACAAAGGATTATAAGAGAACACTACGAACAAATGTATGCCAACAAATTTGACAAACAACACAGAATAAATGGATAAATTCTTAGAAACAGATAATCTTCCAAGACTGAATCAGGAAGAAGCACAACATTTGCACAGACCAATTACTGGAAACAAAATTCAATCACTAATCAAAAAGCTTCCAGTAAACAAAAGTTCAGGACCAGACAGAGTCACAGGTGAATTCTTACAACAGTCAAAGAATAATCAATATCTAACCTTCTCATACTATACTAAAAATTAAAGAGGAAGGAAAGCTCTCTTACTCATTCTACAAGGCCAGCAGCATAACAGATACCAAAACCAGACAAAACCACTACAAAAAGAAAAAGAAAAATTACAGGCCAATATCCCTGATGAACAGAGATGGAAAAATCCTTAACAAAACATTAGCAAACAGAATTCAGCAATACATCAAAAAGATCATACACCATGATCAAAGGAGATTCATTCCAGGGATGCAAGGATAGTTCAATATTCTCAAATGAATGTGATATATCACATAAACAAAATAAAAGGATAAAAATCATATGATTATATCAATAGGTGCAGAGAAAGCATTTGACAAAATTCAACATCCATTTATAATAAAAACTCACTAAAGTGGATATAGAAGGAACATATCCCGACATAAAATCAAGGCCATATAAGACAAATCCACAGCTAACATCATACTCAACAATGAAAACTTGAAAGCTTTTACTCTGAGATCAAGAACAAGATGCCCACTCTCACTACTCTTATGCAACACAGTATTGGAAGTCCTAGCCACGACAATCAGACAAAGAAAAGAGATAAAGGCATCCAAACTGCAAAGGAAGAAGTAAAACTGTCACTACTAAACTATAAAAAATTCCACCAAAAAACTATTAGAACTAATAAATGAATTCGGTAAAATTGCAGGATACAATATTAATATTCAGAAATCTGTTGCATTTCTATGCACCAATAACAAGGTATCAGAAAGAGAAATTAAGAAAACAATCCTATTTACAACTGAAAAAAAACAAAACAAAAAAAGCACCTAAGAATAAATTTAACCAAGGTTGTAAAAAACCTATACTACGAAAACTACAAAACGTTAATGAAAGAAACTGAAGATACAAATAAAGGGAAGGATGAACAGTGCTCATGGATCAGATGAATTAAATATTGTTAAATGTCCATACTACCCAAAGCAATCTACAGATTCAGTACAATTTCTATTAAAATGCCAATGGTATTTTTCACAGAACAAGAACAAATAATAGAACATATAAAACTTATATGGAACTACAAAAGACTCTGAATAGCGAAAAAAGTCTTGAGAACAACACAACAAAAACAAAGTTGGCGATATCTAACTCCCTGATTTCAAACTATACTAATCAAAGCAGTATGGTACTGGCACAAAAACAGATACATAGAGAGCCAGAAATAAACCGATACTTACATGGTAAATTAATCTATGACAAAGAAGGCAAGAATATACAATGGGTAAAAGACAGTCTCTTTAACAAATATTGTTGGGAAAACAGATAGACACAAAAAAATGAAACTAGACCACTTTCTCACACTATATACAAAAATAAATTCAAAATGATTAAAGACTTAAATGTAAGACCTGTCTGAAACCATATAACTCCCAGAAGAAAACATGCAGTAAACTCTTTACATTGGTCTTTGCAATATTTTTTGGATATGTCTCCTTGGCAAAGGCAACACAAGTAAAACTAAACAAATAATTTAGTTTACATAAACTAAAAAGCTTTTGCACAGTGAAGGAAACTATCCACCAAATGAAAAGCAACCTACTAAATGGGAGAGGATATTTTGCAAATGATATGTCCAATAAGGGGTTAATATCCAAAATATATAAAGAATTCATACAATTCAACATCAAAAAACCCCCCAAACAATCCAATTAAAAAGTAGGCAGAAGACTCGAACAGACATTTCTCTAAAGACATACAGATGAATGTCTTTCATCTGTATGGCTAACAGATACATGAAAAAGAAACTCAGCATCACTAATTATTAGGCAAATGCAAATCAAAACCACAATGAAATATCACCTTGCACCTACCGGCAAAATGGGTTTTATAAAAAAAAAAAAAAAAAAAAAGTGTTGGCGAGAATGTAAAGAGAACCCTCGTGCACTGTTGATGGGCTTGCAAATTGGAAAGCAGTATGGCAGTTTCTCAAAAAATTAAAACTAGAACTACTCTACGGCCTAGCAATTCCACTTCTGGGTACTTATCCAAAGAAAATGAAAACAATAATTTAAAAAGATATATGCACCCCTATGTTCACTGCAGCACTTAACAATAACCAAGATATGGAAATAACCTAAGTGTCCATTAATAGATGACTGGATAAAGAAGATATGGCACATATACACAATGGAATATTACTTAGCCATAAAAAAGAACGAAATCTTGCCACCTGAGATATGAACGGACCTGCAGAATATTATGTTAAGTGAAATAAGTTGAATAAAGACAAATACTATGATTTCACTTATTTGTGAAATTGTAAAAAACAAAACAAAGAAACAAAATGGAATAGGAACAAATTCATAGACAGAACAAACTAATGGTTGTCGCAGGGGTGACGGATGATAGGTGGTAAAGGGGAAGGGAATTAAGAAGTACAAATTTCCAGTTATAAAATGAGTCATGGGGATGTAATGTAAGCATAGTGAATAGAATCAATAATATTGTAATAACTATATACAGTAACAGATGGTAACTAGTCTTACTGTGGTGACCACTTTAAAAGGGATATATAAATGTTGAATCATTATGTTGTACACCTGAAACTAATATAATATTGTATGTCAACTATAACTTTTTAAAAAGACACAATTTAGAAACAAAGGGTAAAGTAATAATTAGATTTTACCATCTACTGATTCTGTCTTAGAAAGTCAAGATACAGATGAAGCGTTCTCAAATTTTTTGATCTCACTGTTAAAATTACTCAGATTCAAAAGAACATACTCAGATTCAAAAGAACTTCTGATATTTAATAAAGCCATTATGTTAATATAGATAATATTGTTTATGTAAAATAACTATATTTCTAAAAAAATGAAAAGAGTGGCAATGTTTTACATTTTTGTGATTCAAATAATCTGGTTTAATAAAAGACAGCTGGGTTGTCATATTTATTTCTACATTAATTCATTATGGTTTTTAAACTAAAGTATATGAAGGAAATTCGGCCTTCCACAGATACACAGTTGGAAAAGAGAGGGCCCTGAAGACTCTGAGAGGGGTCAGTGAACCTGCAGCGTTTCTCAGACCACACTTTGAATTACTGATGTAGACCATAGAGAATGGGCTGTTTCTAAAGTTTCTGAGAAGACTAGTTTTTAATTTTTTTCCTGCTAAGGCAAAAAGAAAACAGAAACATTTCACTGAGGAATAACAAGGATATGTTACCATACTATGCTAGTTGATAAAGTAAAAATCCAATTGATTTTCATTTCTCTTACTATTTTAAAACTGGAAATCTGTGGCTAGGTTAAGAAAGAGGTCATAACGTATTTTATAGTAAACCATAACAAAATATTTTTATCATACTGCTAAGCCCTTCAATTTTATGGTTGTTTTGTCTTGCATGACACCAAATTTCTCCTTTTCTCTTTCACCACCCAATTGCCAAAGGCCCTTTCTTTTTCTTTTGGCCTTTTCCTCTGCCAGAGATGTGATTAGAAGACTGACCCTTTAAGTCAGCCTGCTCTTCACATAAGTCTGTCTCGAGAAATCATGCACCTGGCATTTGCATTGTGTCTCCTTAACTGAGCGCCTGGGAAGGGCACCAATTTCTTTAAATTCAGTACCAGTATCTTTTGTTGGTGCCAAGCCCTTTAAGAAGATGCACTTATTTGAAATTTGTTTCCTGCGGTTTATGGCCTAATCTCCTTTTTTTGTTTTAAAAATGATTTCAGATTTTGAGTGAATTTCATCTCTTTTTTTGTGATTGCTCCAACTCATCCACAGGCCCCTTCACGAGTGTTCTGTCTTCCTCTGATTTTTTCCTCAGTCTGCCTTTACTTGCCTCAAAGCACCCAGCAGGATGGGGATGGGACAGGTGTGTGGGATGTGGGGTTGGTGTTTTTCTTTTTTCACTCACAGTTATAGTTCACTTGGGGCAGTCTGACCTCAAGTAATATTGAAGATATAGCTTTGATGATTCTCTGCCAAGAGAAGTTTTCCTAGACATGAAGTTATTTCATGTCATGTGGGACGATTTTGGGGAAGTTGTTTATTACACAGTCTCCTTGGTCTGCAGCTACCCAGAAGTCTTAACACTATATTCTTAACTTTAAAAAGAAAGTTATCAAATTTTAAAAAATCAGATTTTAGTGAGTGGTCTTTTACCTGAACGTCTCTTCTTGGAGCTGTTCTAACTGAGTTTGGAGCTGCAGATGCCTTCTTCCTGCTGGGCTGTTAGGGTCTTCTATAGAATCGGATTGATTAAGTCTTTCCATTAATACCTGATTCTCTGCCAACAGACTACTTTTCTCTTCTTGTAATGCTGCAACCTGTTAGAATATAGAAAGACAGCAGTTATTTCTTCCAATTACACTGGTATTAACATAATCACCTGTGAATTAGCATTATAAATTAAAGCCTGTTTTTAAAGAAGTCCAATCAACATCCACTTAAGACATTTCCATTATTTTGGAACAGGTAGAGTAATATGTAAGAGTAAGCAAGAATTCATTCTTTATTTTATATCTAAAAAGACAGTTCAATAAAGAAGATATATAGATGGCAACTAAGCACGAAAAGATACTTATGATTAGTCATTAGGAAAAGCAAATTAAAACCACTATGTTATTACCAATACCCTCTCACTAGAATGGCTAAAATTAAAAAGATCAGCTGTACCACGTGTGCAAATAGAAGCCTCATACACTTCTGGTGAGAATGTAAAATGTTTAAGAACTATGGAAAAGAGTTTTGTATTTTCAAAAAAATTAAACATGCAACTGCCACATAACCCAGCCATTCAGCTCCTAGGTATTTATTTACTCAAGAGAAATAAAAGCACATGTCCACACAAAGACTTATAAAAAATGTTTATAATAGCTTCATTGGTAATAGAGAAAAACTAGAAACAACACAAATGTTCACTAACAGGTAAATGGATAAAATTTAAGATATCCATACAACAGAATATTATTTGGCAGTAAAAAAGAATTAACTATTGATACTGAAAACATGAACGACTCTCAAAATAATGAAAGAAATCAGACCAAAAAAAATCAGTATACACTGTATGATTCCTTTTACATATAATTATAGAAGATATAAGCCAATTTACAGTGACAGGAAGCAGAGTTTGGGACTGGAGAGGGATTACAAAGAGTCATGAGGAAACTTCTGGGGGTGATGGGTTCATTATATTGATTGTGGGGGTTTCATAATATGTCAACATGCATCAAAACTGTATAATTTAAATATAAGTAGTTTATTGTATGTCAGCTATATCTCAGTAAAGTTATAAAAGCCGAAGTTGATTGCCATTTCTAATACTCCTCTCCATCCCTCATTTCTAATACTCCTCTCCATCTCTCATTTCTAATACTCCTCTCCATCTCTCATTTCCTTTTGAACTTGTTCTAGTTAGGCTATTGACCCACCATTCCACCAAAACTGCTCATGAGGATCACTACTGACCTCCATGTCACTACCATCTATCAAGAACATGTGACAGAACTGATCACATCATCTTCCTCGTTGAAGCATTTTTTTCACTTGGTTTCCAGGTCACCTTACTCCCTTGGTTTCTGTACCAATTCACTGTTCTTATCTTCTCTTTCTCCTTAGTCAATTCTTCTTAATTTACCTGCCATTGAAGGACCTTGCAGTTTTTCTTTTCTAAATACAATGATGGCTTCCAGTTTCATGGCTGTAAATACCATCTATTCACTGACAATTCACACATTTCTATTTCTAGCCTGGAACCTTGAACTGGATATAATTTCCACTTGAATGTCTAATAGACATGTCAAATTTAAATCGTCCAAGTGGAACTCTTAATTACTCCCTATCCCTAGTGCTTCCACGGTCTTTCCCGTTTCAGTAAATAGTAACTCTATCCTTCCAGTTGCTCAGTCATAAGCCTTAATATCTTTCCATCAAACACACATCCAATCTGTCAGCAAATAACATTGGCTCTATCTTCAAACATATCTTGACCACTTCTTATCGGCCCTAAATTCTAATGATCTAAGCCAACATAATTTCTTGCCTGGATTACTGCAATGATCTCTTAATTACTCTCCCTGATTTGGCCCTCCCCTTTAGTCTATTCTCCACACAGCAGCCACAATAATCTATTAAAACAAAATTCAGATCACAAGACTACTTTGTTCGAAATCTTCCAATGGCCTCCCTTTACTTAAAGTCAAAATCTTTACAAAGGCTCATAAGGACTCTCCAGACTGATTTCCTCTTTCCACACTCCCTTCTATACCTGCCATCCTCATCTTTCTGTTCCTTGAAAATACCAGCCACACTTCCACCTCATGGCCATGTGCTCAGCCTCTAATGCTCTTCCCCAGGAATCTGGGAGGCTTGCTCCTCTAACCTCTTAGGATTTCGCTAACATGTCACTTCTCTAGTGCACCTATATTGACTACCCAATTTAAAACTAATAATTCGTACCACCCTTTACTCTCTATTCTATCTTCTCTGCTTTATTTATCTCTAGAATACTTGTGACCGTATAACAGGTTATATTCTTATTTTTATTGTCTGTCTTCTTGACTAGAATGTAAGCACCTTGGAGGCAAGGATATTTTATCTATTTCTGTTTCCCCCATCTTCATTGTATCTACAGCAATTAGAACACTGGATGGTACATAGTAGGTGCTCAGTAAATGTCTGTTGAATAAATAAATTAATCTGAAATGCCAGATCTGTAATTTGTGAGATTTCCATAAAAGCATGAGTCTTTTCTCAGAATAGAGTTGTGGCTCTATTCTATGCCACTGGTCTATTTCATTCATTTCTGCTCTTTCATTCTTTTTTTAAATAAATACTTAAGGCTTGAAAAATTTTAACAACTCATTTCTTTGATACTAATTTCTGACTTTAATTCTTTGGTCACAGAGCATAATCTAAAGAAAACTGCATTTTCTTTGAAATTTTGATTGTTTTATAACCTGGTATGTGGTCAATTTATATGAAGGCTAAATGTGCAATGAAAATTTTTAATACTAGACTTATCAGAATAGCAAATGTTGCTAAAATATTTTAATCAATATATTTGTCAGAAACTTTTTTCAAAAACACAGAAAAAAGAGACTAATTAAAAATAATACATAAACCTGATTAGATAAAAAATCAAACAAGGCAAAAGGGCTTATAATGAAAAGCTAGTTTCTTGTTGAGTTTTTCCACTTCCAAGAGGAAACTACTTTTAACTGTTCTTAATTTTACTGCTTTCAATTATTACTTTACATCTCTCAAATAACATGCTATACACTAACATTCCTCGATTTCTCAACCTTCGAAATTATCTAGTGATTCTCCCTCTGACATGTTAAATTATAACAACTTATGCCACTCCTCCTTTCCACAAATATAGTTACATCACTATTCTCACTTCCTTCACTGGTCACCTCTGCAATTTTAAACAACAATTCATTGTCTCTTCATTCAATCACCCACCATTCATTCACTCGTTCATATTCATTGTGTGGCTACTACATGCCAGGCACTGTTGCAGTTTTCTAGGAGCAAAGCATACCGTGATGAATAAAGCAGAGAAAGTTCTTATTCCTGTAGAACAGTCATATATTAAAAAAAAAAAAAGTCATAGTAAATATATAAACACAAAAATATTGACAGAGTGAATTAAATATGTGCAAAAACTAGAGTGAAAGATGCTATGTAGAGGGTTAAAATAAGAATATGATAGACTACATAATTACTCTAGACTGGCTGACCATGGAAGGACGACTCAAGGAGGCCTAATTTAGTACTTGGCACATCTAAGTGCCCAATAAATATTTTATGACAAATGATCAGGTGATTTTGAGCTGAAATTGGATGACAAGAAGGAGCCAGCCTTGTAATCCCGCTGCCCCACAGAAGTGGTTCTTGATTCCCTTCTTGGTAAGACAAGAACATTAGTGGGCCTATTCCTTCCTCATCGCTCCTGTCCTTTTCTAATTCTCAGCCTTTATCATCTGTACCTTTACTTTTACAACAACATTTCTCTGTAGGACAATTCTAAATGTTTAAAATCAATAAAGTTTTCATTATTACATTAAAGATCACATTATCTTTACTGTGTTATTACTGTTTTCTGCAGAGCTAAGTGTGTTATAGGGCTACCATTTTTCTTCTCATGACCTCTGCAACCCTGCCATTCACTCTTCAATCTGTCTAAAACAGGGATTGGTAAATATCTTTGTAAATTATCAAAGAGTGAATATCTTAGGCTTTGAGGCCATAGGTCTCTGTGGCAAGTACTTAACTTTCATTATAGCATGAAAGCAGCCACAGCTTATATATCAATGAATGAGTGTGGCTGTGCTACAAATAAAATTTTATTTACAAAAACAGATGGCAAGCTACTGTTTGCCAATCCTAGTGCATAACTTTAATTTTACATTATCAAAGATAATATTTATATTCTGCTTGTAAAATTAATCAACTCTATTTACTTTTAAAACTTTAGCATTTGTGTATACTTAAATTCTAAAAATTGAAAAGTAATTAATAGCACATTATGACTAAATATTACTTACTACATAACCCAGTAAATGTGCTATTCCATTTCCTCCTGAATGCATCCAAAGCGTCTAGTATAAAATAATATGAACTATGTGTACCCATTACCCAGCTCTAACGAGTATCAAAACATACCAATTACATTTAATCTGTACCGCTATCCTCTCCCCTCGCCTCCCTGATTTTGAGGTAAATCCCAATTTTATTTCTTTTCTTTATTTGTGAGATATTTCAACTTTATTCTATTGAACTTTTCATTTTGGCAATTCTATTTTTAACATACTTAAGTGTTTCTTAACCTCTGATTTTTGTTTTTTAAAATAGCATCTTGTCCTTATTTAACAGAATATCACTAATTTTACTGGAAGTATTTAATAAATTAAAAAGGAAAATTTCTTCTACTACCCCAAATTTCTCCATTTTTTCTAGGGTCAGTTGCCTGTTTATCTCAATCTTTTTATCTTTTGTTATGCAGATTTCCCTCTCATTTAAGAATAAGTCAACATCAAGGGGTAACTGGAAGTTATGCACTCAAGGGCTTCACTTTAGGGATTTACCTACAAGAAGCTGGATTTCATGAAAGGACAAAATGAAAAGAACCTCACATTGCAAAACTAATAGTCTAACCTCTCTATACTTCTGTTTAATTTCTTTAGAAAAGAACCCTGTAATTGGAAAGCTGGCTATAAGTCAGTCTATATGCAATGGGTGACAGGGGTGATGGAGCTTAACTAGTCTACATGATACCTCTAGTTTTAGCCTTATTTCAGCCTTCCACGGTACCTGTGGTCTCTCTGGGGTTCTGCTACAGCAGCTCTTCCCCCACCCCCAGGTAATATTTATATTCTGTACTGTTCTTGGCCACTACATTCTGTACTCCTTTTAGTCATTCAGCACTTTTCCAACCGTCTTTTGGCTTTCAGAGGTTGATGAGACTGGTGGTGTGCTGTTGTGAGCTATAACTAAGCTGACTTAAATGAATAGTCTTGTGAGCTGACTTGTTAACCATTAATAACTTGAAACTGGCCACTGTCAGACTTTTATACTATGAAATGAATACTGAAAATCAGGACTTTTCAAAATCTCCCTCATTCCTTTTGAGAGCTAGCACTGATATATCCCTCCTAATACAGGAAAGAGACATAAGAACTACACGAATTGATTAAATATTAAAGCAGGTTGTATCCAGAGCTTGCTACGT